GGTAACCCTGCTTCCATCAGTTCTCTGATGTTCATGTTCAGTACTCTGGGCAGTATTTAGAATATAAGTTCACTATTCCAGCCTTGCTGTTTCACATATTTTCGTGTTTTTTTTTTCTTTTCATTTTGTTAGTATGGTTTCCTGTTTTTTAAGTTCGTGGGGATTTAGGTTAAGACGACCATTCGCAACGCCCTAGAAGATGGCATAACAAGTTCTCTGAAATTAGAGGTGTCCTTGACACATGACAGGCAAAGTGCCCCATATAGTGTGTTTTCATATGCCTTTATTATAAAACCGTACCAAGCACGCACATACAATTTAATCCACACAAAGAACCTAACGCTGGTGACGAGTCGACCTCTGCTTACTCACACAGATGCACACACACTCACACACACACACACACACACACACACACACACACACACACACACACACACACACACACACACACACACACACACATACGTATCGAGATGGGGCACCCTCTATTATCGACACTACAGTTTCGAGAATTGCAGTGTCACAATAACACTTCCATTAAGACAACAATATAACCCAAAACGCGTTTACACCCATTCCTGTCTAACATAGTTTTTTAACATAGTACCCAACAGCAACCTATCAATTTAACAAGAAATGCGTAGACACCCTATGTGAGGACCGGTGAATATCGCATCATGATTTGTGGCGACACATCAATATAACCTGAAATGTGTAAACGCCCATGCCCGTCTAAGGTTGTCCTACGCATCAAACACAGTTTTCTTAATTACTGCTCTCGTTGACCGTCTCGGTCGTTGCGCGTCCTCTTCGTCGTCACCGTCCACTCGTGGTGTAGCGTGGTCATCTTTCTGGTCGTTATCTTGGATCATATCCTCGCCCGTACTCTCCGATCTCATATCTATTACGGAAATGTGTTCGCAAGATGCCTCACCTTTCTTCGTCTCCTCTGTTGTTGTCGCCACCTACTCTGGCGCCACCTTCACGGTCTGGCTTTCAACATCCTGGCCCGCATCGGTCTCCATCATTTCAGATAAGCCTTGCCTCACCGCCACTGTCGCGACAAGAAACCCGAAAGATCCAACGATTGTTGCCCCATCGTCGACCCCGCGCGTTGGCGGCTCTGTCAATGTGCCCGACTCCATGTCGCCGCCGTCCTTGCGTATCATAGTGGAATCCCCCATTGCGCTTCTCTGTGTGCTTTGTTGAATACATGCTCGCAACTGTTCATTCTGTATGTGACCTGCGTTTGCACGTGTATCCGTTTCGCAGCCTACATCCCCTCTGGCCATCGCAACGATGGTGCTGGACGCGATGACGTCTTGAGTCTTCAGAGAGGTGATGCTATCGATTCCTTGCACTGCTGACGCTTGTTTGATTTTCCAATCGATGGAGCCGTACGACACACTTGATGCAAGGTCGTAGAACGTTGTGCTGAATTCTAGTTGTTTGTTCGCACGCAGTTGCTCAAACAAAGCTTTCGCCTTTGCCGCTACAGCCACCTCGGTTGCACCGACATTTTCATGTGCAACCCGCCGAAAAAGTTGCGTCTCCGTCATGCTGTGCCATATCGCAGCGTCCTTTCTTTCCTTCGTGACCCACCCGTGGTCTCTTGTCTTCATAGCCATTTGCCACTTGCCCGCAAACACGCACGGTTCGAACACGCCCTCATGCCAGAGAATATGATGACCCCAGTCCTCCTCCGATGACTCCTTGTACTTGTCTTGCAGCAAGTATGGCACTTAAGGGCCTTGAGCAAAGCCTTGAGGTAACGGTTTTCCTGGCACGAGCTTCGGCATGACTGCTGTCATATCCATGTCTTCATCTTCATATGTGTCCATCGACGTGAGCATTTGCTGCTCGGCCTGCGGTGCATGTGTCGATGATGGTCCAGCTGTCGGCGGGGTCATTTCACACCCATTCTCTCCTCCCTCTGTGTTGCCCCGTGAGTTAACAATTCCCTCACGCGCACCCACCGGGTTCGTCGGTACACCATTCTTTTCTCCGCTTGCATTCATTCTATGTTCCACATCTCCCACACTAGCATGTGTCGCTCCCAAACTCGACCTTGTCTTCTCCGCTTCTGCGTTGGTGCTCCCTTGCGACTCCTCGGCGAGTGCTCCCTGCGCCGAACGTCGTCTCGCACGTGACGGAACGTCCAGGTCAGAGTTTGACGTGTCTTCGTCACAATCGATGTTGTTGAAGTTCCCCGCTTTACGTGCCAAGTCCGCATAGTCCCTGCATGACAGTGCTCTTTTCTTCATATTGAAATACAGATGCTCACAACGTGCGACAAACATGTGGAAAGCACCCATGTGCGATCCGTAGTACTCGTTCATTGCTATCTCGAGTTCACTTTTCCTGATGACGTATTCGTTATCAACCGCCGACCGTGGAGCGTCACCGAACAAGTAAGCCCACACTTTCTCCCTCTTCCTGCCGAGCTTATAGTAAATGTCCGGGTCCTTGCGGTGCTCGACTTGGGGCTTTTCGAACCTGCATTTGTTCCTCGGATCCTTCACATAAAACTCCAAAAACTTGGAAAGGTATGTGAGCTCTTTTGTCGTGTCGTCACACGCAAACACGTGGCGTCCGGCGCGAGCGAGTTTCAAAATCAGTCCCGCATGCGCCCTGCCTAACAGCATCACGCCATCGTCCTCCCTGATGAACGAGCTGCACAGTTTTCGGAGACGTGCTGACTCTCATTCCATCCAAGAATAAACCGCGTCGGTGTCGCCCTCCACGCTGATACACTCCCCTGAGCACCTCACAAATTCACCCTCTTCAACGTTCAAATTTGTCAACTCGGCTGAGTCGGCTCGCAATTTCGGCGCAACCGTTATATTGTCCAAATTTTCGTTCTCGACGTGGAGGACAATAACCATCATGTCAGTGTACCGAACTGCAATGTTGCCGTACTTGTTCAAGGTTGTCGAAGGTGTATAGTGTCTGTACCATGACCCTATGAGCACCTCAACATCATTCCAGTTGTACACACTCTGCATCACCTGTTTTTGGTGTTTCATCGGCGCGAAAATGATTAAGGCCCAGTTTTCGCCACAGCATGTCATGAGGAAAGCGTACAGTTTGGAAAAGGCGTCATCATCCCACGGAATACATTTCGGTGATGTTGACATATCAAGAATGGTTGCCCGTATCTTCATCCCCCTCGCCGTACCAACAAACTCCTCGTTGTCGGTGAGCACTCCCTTCGGTTCGATTTCAAATGGCAGGATCGTGGTAATCCTCTTCCCCACTTCCCAAAATATGTGACAAACACTGGAGGATATCCAATTAACCTCCGCTCTCAGGTCGTCCAAGCAGTCGATTGCCTTGTAGATGAAACACTTGAGGTGGAACGGGGTTTCCTTGTACATGCCTTGGGTTGCCTCCAGTCCCGCACCGTTCTCACCATTAATCTCATCAGGACCGCCCAAACGCTTGGGCACCTTCCTCGCCTTGTCGTCAGGGGTGCGGTCGCGTTCCTCGGTCCATTTCTCGTCCGTCAGGCCGTTTTTGCTGTACCTCTCCAAGATGGTCGTATAACCGATGAAAAAGCTAGTGCTCCACTCTTCTTTTGACCTCCCCTCGGCCTTGAACAATATGTAGTTGAACATACGGACCATATATCTTTCACGCCGAGTATATTTAACCAGGTCCGCCATGTTGCATCTACCACGAGGTACCGAACGTGATGTCACGATGACATCACCACGCATCATGTGGTGAAGCGCCACTTGCTTCTCTCTCACTGTCATATCACCGAACAACTTGAAGATTGTCGGTGTCAAGTGAGGTATAGACACTGTTGCGCCTGGTGGCCCCTTCCTGACCTTGATGCAGTGGAACAGGACTTTTTTGCCGAAGTTGTCCTTGAGGAAGTATTGGCCAGGCAGCCTCCCTACCATTTTCCCCGGCACTGCCGGCAGGTCGATGTATTTCACACCGTCGACTCGCGGCAATAGCCCCTTCTCGTACATGTCGAAGAATTTCTGTACTAGTGGCCATACTGTTTCGCCGCATTGCGCAAGATTCATGTATCCGCACATCTTGTTCGTCCAGTCCTTGCAGTAGTCGTTCTCCAGGGACGAGTTCATGAGACCGGAATCAGGTGTCATTTTGCAGGCGGCGTTCATGAACTCTTCCCATTTCTTTTTCCGTTTCGTTCCCTCGACGTCATTCGGGGACACCGTCCCTGGCGGACGGATCCGGCCATTCCTCTTATCCCAAAATGTTCTGATTTGACGCACAGATGACGAAAACGATCTCGGCATCGAACGCTCCTCCCTGGTGTTGTCGAACGTCGAGAAGTACGGATATCCTCTCTTTCTGTCATCGTCAAAGTAGACAACACCTACGTGAGAGTATGACCTCAAGCCATACACTTTACCGGTCGGTGACTTGTCTTTAATGGGTCTGTTCATTGCCTCAGCCGTGTGCTGGCCAGCGACAACATACTAGTTGTATGTATGAGCCAGTTCGACATCGAATTGCTCCGGTGTGATCCGTCTGCCTTGAGACCCGTCCCGGTTAGGCACAATGGGAGCGAGGATGAAAGTCATGAAATCCCACTCCCCGTTGGTTTCCTTGGCCGCATGATGGATCGCATCATATATGGACTGCACCAACGTTTCGTCCAACGTTCTATGGTTGAAGAGGATGTCACCTTCAGGGATTGGCAAGATCTTCGTGACGTCCACTTCAATGTGTTCCCTTTTCTTCTTTGCAAACCCATCTTCATCGAACTCCAAGAAGAAGCACCGTGTTGTGTCGATGGCTTCATCATGGGTGTCGGCGGAAGGTTGTGTGTGTTCCGACATATCTCTTGGAGGAACCCCTTCGGCATCCTCTCTAGAGTCACCCTCATCCACCATCTGCTTTCTTTTCGGTGGACGTTTCTCCGCTTTTGTCGCTCTTGTCGACGCGGACCCTTTTCGTTTCTTCACGCTTTCAGCGACCGCCTCTTGAAAAGCTTTGAGCGCCTGTCGAGATGCAGCGACGGTGAGTTCCTTCGCAGCGCGCTTATCCGCCGCCGCCGTTGGACTTGTTGAAGATTGTTGCTTCCTTTTCTAGACACTCGCCTCTGACCGCTCTCCTGTTGCGTCGTTGACCCCCACATCAGCCGACCGCTCTTGCCGTCCATCGTCATCACCTACAAGATAGGCATGATCGTTTTCTCCATCGCCCCCGTCGTCCTCCTCATAGTATTGTTGAGACTCCCCACCCTCGCAGTCGTGCGTAGTTTCCTCACGATCCTCTCTCTCTCTCTCCCTCTCGCTGTTCTCCTCTTCGACGTCGTCCTTATCGACACCACATTCGTCATCGTCGACGGCATGATTACCCTGTGGATGTCGATCAACACATACCCTAGAATCGTCCTCCGTTTCCTTGTCCGATCCTTCGCTTATCTCCCGCATCGCGGCCTTCCTGGACGCACCACCTTCGTCCTTCTGGCAACTGGGAGAGGGACGAGTTGGTAGGGCCTTCCTTTTGTATGTGATGACAGGGGTGCCTTGGTCTTGCCGGCTGGACGGTTGAGACGGTCCAACACACTCCATCCGGAGGGACGAACCCACAGGAGGACCATGCTCATCCTCGCCAGGTGGACGACGCAGCTGGCTCTGTTTGTTGCGGCGCCGACCCCCACTCGCTGACGTCTGCTGCGTTGGAAAACTATGTGGCATCCTCCGTCTCTCTGTCATTGCTATACCGGGAAGATCCTCGTCCGGCGTGTCAAAAGGCACGAATGTCGGGGACATACGATGGCCGGCCTCAACCGTGGGACTGTTTCTGGATCTCCTGTAGTCGTTCGTTTTGGCGAGGAATTTAACGGGGCCAAGCATCGTCAACACACTCCCGTCTTCGGGGACACATCGAAGGCTTTCATGGTAATAGCCTTACCGCCATACCCCTTGAACAGATTGTAATCAAGGCTTACTTTACTGTCGGCCTTCGCATGGTCCACTCCTTGTTCGTCGAACACCGTTGTGAGGAAAAACCTCCTGAACTTTCGTCCGTGCCCGTCCACCCTCTCATCCTCGGATTATATAATCCCTCCAACACAGAACCAGTCGTCACCCGAGGCGTTCTTCAGAAACACAGCGGCCCCACATCCCGCCTCGTGTAGCCCCCCCACCCAATCAAGGGCCCACTCCCTATCTCTATAGATTGTGCACGTGTTGTAGACTCTCTTTTCTGGGACAGCAGATGCTCCTCCTGATGGCAGGCACATTCCAAACGAAGGAACGGATCGCATTCGGATTTCAAACCTTCCACCATCGCCTCACGTGAGTCGCCGACGCATTCGAGCGTCGCATGGTATAGGGCGTTCTGAAAACGCCCTACCCCGGCCGGTTCCGCGAAGCAAGGCCGAGGGGGCACGGCGTTTCGAAAACGCCACACCCCGTCCGGTCATCGGAGACGAGAGGGAGCGGTGATACAGCGATCTCGAAGCGCCGCACCCGTCGGCCCTGTCCACCTACGGGGCCGGGCTATGGCGTTCTAGGAACGCCATGCGGCCCACCTCCCTATCCTCTCCGAGAACTGGAGGGGGCACGGCGTTTCGAGACCGCCTAACCCCCGCTCCCACACCCACCGAAAACCGGAGGGGGTACGGTGTTTCCGAAACGCCGAACCCCCTGGACCCTGTTCACATACAGGGCGGAGGGGGCACGGCGTTTCGAGAACGTCTTACCCCCGCTCCCACCCCCCACAGAGAAGCGGAGGGGGTACGGCGTTTTCGAAACGCCGCACCCCCTCGACCCTGCTCACATACAGGGGCGACGGGGTACGGCGTTTTGAAAACACGGTTCCCCCTTCGGTTGCCGGGTGGGGGCGGGAGTCGGGGTACGGCGTTTCGAGAACGCCGCACCCCCGCTCCCACCCCCACCGAGAACCGGAGGGGGTACGGCATTTTCGAAACGCCGTACCCCCTCGACCCTGTTCACGTACAGGGCCGAGGGGGTACGGGGTTTTCAAAACGCCCCACCCCCATCGGTTGCCGGGAGGCGAAAGGAGCGGGGGTACGGCGTTTCGAGAAAGCCGCACCCCCGCTCCAACCCCCACCGAGAACCGGAAGGGGGTACGGCGTTTTCGAAACGCCGTACCCCCTCGACCCTGTTCACGTACAGGGCCGAGGGGGTACGGCGTTTTCAAAACGCCGCACCCCCATCAATTGCCGGGAGGCGAAAGGAGAGGGGGTACGGCGTTTCGAGAACGCTGTACCCCCGCTCCCAACCCCCTCCGAAGACCGGAGGGGGTACGGCGTTTTCAAAACGCCGTACCCCCTTCGGTAGCCGGGAGGCGAAAGGAGCGGGGGTACGGCGTTTCGAGAACGCCGTACCCCCGCTCCCACCCACACCGTGAACCGGAGGGGGTACGGCATTTTCGGGCTGTACCCCCTCGACCCTGTTCACATACAAGGCCGAGGCGGTACCGCGTTTCGAGAACGCCGTACACTCCACCCC